AATTTTTATCCTAGTAATCATTTTTTTTCAACTTACAATTTTGCAATTTTAGGAAACAACTTTGAATTTCAATCACCCTCTCTAATCCACTTAACTTTTGCTTTTGTCCTTATAGATTGTTTCTTCGTTCACCTCCACACATTCACATATATTTTTAATATCACACCTTCCCTTTCTCAAAATTTTCAATATCCCCCAAAATTTTCAAGACTATCAATGTCCACCATTCTTTTCAATATTATTTTCTTTCTCCAATTTACCATCCCAAAACAAATTCCTATGAACACACGTATGGAAATTGTCTTCAATCTATACATAAAGTTCATTAGTCATTGTTCTCAAGGTATTCAGCGATTACGCTTCATCGGGGAGAGATTCATTAGTTATTGTTCATCATGTAACTATTCATTGGTACTCTACTATATGCATTGTTTGGATTCCTTGAACTCTATGTGGTGATGGTGCTTAGTGATATGTATTGGAATTATACTTCTTTTTGATTTTGAGCTAGCTTACCTTTCCCTTGACACATACAAAGAGGTGTTAGTGTAATCTCTATAGATGTGTGGTATACTTGTGGAAGGATATTTTGCGTAATTCCATTAGTTTGTAACTTTGTATGACAGAGTCTAATTCCATAAGGGTCCCAAATTCAGTCACTACACCCTACTTTAATGAAATTATACGAACACAATTACTTCTTGTATGCACAAGCTGTGAGAGTAGCGTCGAGTGCAAGGAAGAAATTAAAGTTTGTCTTGCATGATCCTCCTTGGAAGATAGTAAAGAATACAATGAACGGGATTCAAAAATTGCGAGGTTATGCCACCGCTATGATTATTATAGAAAGATCATTGAGTTTCCAATGTGATGTATCTAGATAATACCAAGAAGCATAGGGAGATAGTTCTAGAAATATATATGATGTAGACGGATGTCTCTAACGTGGTATAATTTATACGAGATCCTTTTCTTAAATAAGAAGGCCATTGTCAGAATACTCAGTACATTCAAGGGGATGCTGAATGAGTTGAACCAGCATCACCTTCTTACCAATGGGATCAATATTATGAAGAAACATAAAAAAAATTCATGTTTCACAATTTCTTTCAAGATTAGATTCTTCATTTCGCTCGCTGAAAGATCAAATATTGACTGGTCATGCTGATGTTTCTGCATTGATGGGTTTGGCTAATCACCAAGTTCCTTTAGAGATCGTGTTACTAGTAGTGGAGGCGCTTTTCATGGAGATAGTAGAGTTTTTTTATCAAGGTACTAAATTATAAGTCTGAGAATAAAACTTCGAAAGGGAGTGACCTAGCAATGGATAAGACTAGAAACAACAATTTAATAACCAATTTCAATTTATTCCTGAGAATTTACTTGGGAGACTAATGGCGAGGTACATAGAGAGAAAAGAACTATCTTCATATGAATTTGATAGACTTAGATAAATTTGATGACATAGTACCTACAGATATATTACGATGGAGTTTAGAGAAAAAAACGATGAATTGGTAGATTAATATTATTATACGATGGTACACTGACTATAATGAGAATCAATATAGGAGAGACTAGTTAATTATTGATCACTTACATTAGGGTATATCTATAAGACCAGATCTTTTTGCTCTCATTATAGAAAAACTGACTAGACACATTCAATATGAGGTATTATGGCATATGTTCTTTGCTGAAGATTTCATTGATTGATGAAATAACATAATAGCTAATATTAAATAAAAGGGTAAATTATACGAACACCCCCTGACATTTGGGTTTATTACACGGCCACCCCCGTTACATTTTAGAAATTACACCGAACCCAAATAGTTAAACAGGGTTAACGATTTTGACAAAAAAGATTATTTTGCCCCTCTTATTATAACCGAGCATAACTAGTAAACTAGAAATATATTCGGGTCCTACTCAAACCGATCCGATCTGCAACCAAAAAAAAAAATCCAACCCACACCGTCACTAGACTAGGTCAAAATAAATAAACTACAAAAAAGCTAAATCCATTTTCAGACCCACTCAAAAATTCCAACCCTAACCCTAATGATCTTTCTCCATCCCCCCCTCTCTCCCGCCAAGCAAACAACCCCAACAAGTCATCTGTCTCCCCCTCTCTCTACGGCCACGCAACCCCTTCCCTCCACAAACCTTAAACCCGAAAACAGAACTCCCCCACTGCACCCAACCCACCAACTCCTCCTACCAACAAGCTCCTCGGCTACCCCTACCCCGCTGCACGCTACCCACCCTATCGCACTTTCCCCCACCTATAGTAAATTCCCCATCCTTCCTCTCCTTTCATCATTTAACACAAAAAACTAATCTAATTATGGAACAGTAACTCACAAATTTATAGATCTAAAAAAAAAAAAATTTGAGGTTGTCGTAGTAGTGGTCAATGGTTGTTGAATGTGATTTAGTTGTGGTCTTTGTTGTGCTTTGTGTCTATGAAGATGGTTGAGGATGGGTGGTAATGGTCGATGGCTTGCAAATGGATGGTGGTGGGTCATGATTTGGAGATGTTGGTGGATTCCTTTTGCTCTACATGTGTGTATGTGAGAGGATGAGAGAGAGAAGTGAGAGAACGACGCTGGAGGCGAGTTGGCTGCGGTAGAGGAGAATGGTTGTTGAGGGAGGAGGGTGGTGTTGGTGGTGAGGAAGATAATTGGACATAAATTAATGATTTTAGTTGAAGTAACTAATAAATAAATATGATTAATGAATGGATTGGAAATAATGGCTAAATTAAAGAATAATTATTTGTCATGGCTAAATTCAAATGTGGGTAATTCTAACTTAAACAAAGAGGGAGGGGTAGATCTAGTTTTTCAGTGTTAATTTGGGGGTAATGGAGTTTTATAATTGTCAATTTGGTAATAAAAGGGTACTCTGGGAATTTTATAAATATTGGTTTCTGAGGTCACCATTTTTCGTTACCCTCTTTGATGTTTGTTAGATTGAAGGGGTGTGAATGTTACATGCGGTAAAATGTCAAGGGGTCTTGGTGCAATTTCTAAAATATCTGGGAATGTCCGTGTAATAAAATCAAATGTCAGGGGTGTCCGTATAATTTACCCTAAATAAAAAGTTTGGAAAGGAACTTTAGAATCAAAAAGATTTAAGATGAGTATAAATAAAAGTGAATACATGAATGTAAGCAAAAGTATAAAATCAAATAGAGATGTAGTTAAGATTAAATACCAAGAGATTCTGAAAAAGTGAACACTTGAGATATTTGAGATCAATTATCCTCAAGGATAGAGATTGGAGACTGTGAATTATAAAAGTCAAAGAGTATGAATGCATGTATACCTCTTAAGCTAACAGATAAATTCTAAAAGCCAGCCATTTGACCAGTACTGATTTAGGAAACAAAGTGATGGCCAGTTATGAAACATGTTCAAAAACTAAGTGCGGCGAAAATGAGAATGTCAAAATGGATGTGTGACGAAATCCAAAAGGGTAAAATTAAGAATAAATATATTCATGAAACAATAGAATTACCATCAATAGAAGATTAGTTCAGAGGTGGGTGATTTGGATATGTTTATAGAAGTGGAGCTACTACATGTTGAGGAAGAGTGGTGAGATACCTACGAATAGTAATGTGAGGAATAGAAGTAAGACAAATTAAATTTAAATGAGATGGTGGAAAGAAATGATAGCTTCCAAAGAAAATATTGCATTTGTTAGAATACAATGGCAGAAGAGAATTTATCAAGCAAACTGATGTGAAGGCTGAAGATTAACTTGCTGTTACCTAGATAAAATGAATTTCAACCAAAGTTCTTCATGATGTCCTAAACAAGCTGAGCACATGTGACATCTTTGTACTTGAGTGGGAGTGTCGGAATATTTTGTATTATGATAAACCAGCTTTAGAGGGTATTTTATGTCTTTATATCAAATATAGTGTGGATAACATGAAAGGGAAATAACGCTAATATTTTCCTTTCTCTGCGTCCATATACACACTGTTTCTTCCATTCTTCTTTCTTGGAGGGTATTTTTGTACGTGTTAAAGTACTAAAAGTAGAATATGACGCAGGGAACCAAATTTTTGGACTCTCTCTTCCAGCCTCTCTCTCTTTTTCTTCTTTCTTTTCTTGTCCATTTTCTTTATGGGTGGGGCTATTCCCACCCCTTAACTCTCTTTTCCCACCTTATTTAATTATCCTACTTCAAACTACTAAATTCACCCTATCTATACTCACCCCATAAGTTACTAAATCCACCTCATCTATATTTACTAATTAAAAACTAAATTCATTCAATTTTATTTCAACTTACTATATACGCAATGATCAAAATTTCATTTCGGTGTATTATTTTAGTACAAAAATATTTCAGAAACAGAATAAAAATTAATAATTATTTTTAAAATATTAGTTAAAATATGTCAAAATATTTTAAAACACCTCAAAATATTTCGAAAACATAGGTGAAAATATTTCAAAACACCTCACAATAATATAGATCACCTTAGAACATTGAAATTTCGCTTCAATTACTTTTTTTATTTCGGTTTCTTTGACATATATTTAATAGTTTAATTGAATGGGTATAAATGGGGTGAACTTAGTAACTAATGGGGTGGGTATATATTAGGGTGAACTTAGTATTTTGAAGTAAGATGATTAAATGGGAAGGGAAGAGAGATTTAAGGGGTGGGAATAGCCCCACCCTTTCATAATTCCTTTGATCTTTTCTTTCCACAATATCTAACAAAGAAATGGCATAATATCATAACCTTATATGTTTGTGCTTGCTTAATGTTTACAGAATAAGAGAGATAGGGTGAAGTGGCAACTATTACTCCTAATATTTGGTTCGGGGATAAAAATTTTCACACCCAATTGTAATAGAAATAAGGCAATTAATGACAAATGTATCCTAATGTCAGCATGCATTCAAAAACTCTAGAAAGACAGATGAATGATAGCATCGCTGACCAACGGAGATCCATATGACTCATAATATTAAGCACCGTACCTGCCAGAGTATTCAAAGCATGTATACTGGTCGTGAAGGGTATGTAACTTCAAATCAGACTGCCAATCAAGTATCTGATGTAAAGCAAACAAACAAATCAAACACATTCGTTTCAATGGATCCCAACAAAAAAAAATCTCAAATGTATAAAATACCTTCTTCACTAATGGATCATAAATCACTTCTGGAAGATAAGCCAAGGTTGTACCACTGTCAATTATTGTCCCTTTCTTGTCTCCAGCCGTGAACAGATCTGTTGGAAGATGCAGAAAATCAAGACCAACTTCAACTGCCGTCATGTTGACATTGTAATGTGGCCTAAGATTTTTCATAGCAAGATTTAGTTTAACGCTTGCAAAATCATAGACCAGGATTAAAAATGAGCCAGAAGAATAAACATTAATTTTGAACAAGCAAAGGTTTCAAATTTGAGAAGGCAAAATGCCTGGCACATGAAGCTGGAACACAGACAAACAGGAAACCAGTGAAAGTTCACTAAAAAAAACAGCATCAAGCTTAAGTGCATCTGCATTTCACATGATTATGTTCTCTATCTGACCCCGTGTTGAACCCATGCATTGGGCTGTCCTTGTTTTTCTATCTGCTCCTGATGGTTGCAATCGCAGACAAACAGGAAAACAGTGAAAGTTCACGAAAAAAAACAGCATCAAGCTTAAGTGCATCTGCATTTCACATGATTATGTTCTCTATCTGACCCCGTGTTGAAACCATGCATTGGGCTGTCCTTGTTTTTCTATCTGCTCCTGATGGTTGCAATCGCAAATAGGGTGGCTATAAGATTATTACGGATTCTGTAATATATAACTGTCCCAAGATTTGTAACATATTTTTCTTGTTCACTTTAATAGTGAGCAGATGAACTGCATTTCACATGATCATGTTCTCTATCTCACCCCATGTTGAAACCATGCATTGTGCTGTCCATGTTTTTCTATCTGCTCCTGATGGTTGCAAATAGGGTGGCTATAAAGATTATTACGGGTTCTGTACTGTGATATATAACTGTCCCAAGGTTGGTAACATGTATTTCTGGTTCACTTTAATAGTGAGCAGATGAACTTTAACAGAACATAGCACAGTTTTTTAGCATTAAATTATAATAAATTAACTTTTACACCTTCAACACAAAATACAAGCCTCTATGCTCTTGCAAGCAGTAATTTGGTAACTCAACTAACAGAACAAAATAGTTAATGAACTTTTAAAACTTCAGGACATATTTTCGGTATTTCATATAGATTCAATATTAGACAAAACCTCGTTGAATATCCACATATGTGAGATTTGGAGACTATCCCTCTATCTTATAAGGCCCTAGATTTTTACGCTATCAGTAGACTTTCTGCGTATTCTTCTCGACGATCAGCATTACTCTGAAACCCGACTTCCACAAACTAAGATATAACCAGAGCATTATTTCACCCAAGTAGCAAACTTGAAATCCCACAAGATTAATAATACTAAAGGAACTAACAATAATCAGTTCGCTAAACCTACCAGCAAAAATATGCAGAAGGAACCCAGATCAATTAAAATAAAACTATGGACAGTAATTCATTCAATAAAGATACCACATACTGGTTTGGAACCAATGGCGTTGAGTTAACTTTCGGCTGAACAACATGCCCCATTGCAAAAATACCACCACCATTTGCACCATCTAAACAATGTGCAAACATCTTTTTCACTTTTCCAGATGAAGCTAGCTGTGAAATCATGGATGAATTTGATTTCCCAAAACCAAGTATCCCATCGAGGGCGTCATCAGAGGAACCTAGATCTCCAGATTGTCTAGCACCACACCTAACCCAAAGCATCAGAAACATTTGCCAGCTTAGAATTGAACAAGAACAAATTATCATTTGTTCACTATTCAAAGTAAAAAGAGATAAAATGCACAGAAAAGATGGGAATTATGACCCCCAATTAAGTATATAGACTTATCAAAAACTTCACAAAGATTTAACCTTAAAATCAAAGATAAATGCACAAAAACCAAAAGTAAACATTATAGAAGCCTCACTTATTTTGCGGAACCTTAATAAAACAGTGGACAGAAGCAAAGAATATGACTTACAAGAGACAATAAAAGAGTAAATAGAGCAGAAACTTTTTTAATTTGTGCTTTCCTAGTTTCCTTTTTTTAATTTTAAGGGGTTATTGGGGGAGGGGTAGACCACTAGGAGATACTATGAACCTCACCAAAGCCAAAATTGATCTGTTACGAACTTGCGTGTTACATCAAGTCCAAGACCCCAGGTAATACAGAAATGTTTTCTTTAGTAAAAATAATGCCATGTAGCCTCTTTTTGAAAACAAAAGGCATCTACTTCAACCAAAAATGGACAGAGAAAAGATCTTTTACTTCAAGCCTATCGTATATGAAACCTTACCAAGGTACCATTTGAGTTAATAGACCCATGCTTCAAATTGATAATGATTAGCATGTCAGCTGCCATCAAATTTATAAAACTTGAACCCCATGTCAACAGAAGCACAAATTTTCACTTGTTATGACTACAATTCAAACATTTAATCACCATATGTATTTCACATATCTAGAAATGAGAGGCCATACCATTGTCGAATCCATTCTCAGTCCAATATTAAACCAGAGCTAATGAACAAGATTTTCACAAGCTTGCTCATCAAGCAAGACAAAAGGAGGAACAAAAGCAAATCAAAGTTAAATTTACAAGAAAACACAACTGTATGCACATGCACAGAAGAACAAGATCTAAATCATGTGACACCCCAAATCCCTGTCTGTTTCCAAAACTCACTGTGATCCAAGCACGTGACCTATATGGGGTGAGCTTGACAGCCAAGTAAGCAGAATAGGCCACAGGAGAACGGGAATCAGAATTATCAACATCCATGGTCCATCTCGCCTACAGGACAAGTAAAACTCAAGTACAGCAAACAACATATCCGACTTCACATGGCAGTAGTCACTTCTAACCAAATATACTATACCAAGCGAGCACGTCGTAGACACAAAAAGAGCCGAGAAAAAAGGAAGATTACGGGAAATACCAGTTGCAAAGTGATTAGGAATAGATGCATATTATGAATAACCCCACCTATGTAATTCTCAATCAAAAAATGTAAACACCAATATCAAAGTACCTAGAATAATCTCCTTCAATAGCATCACAATCACCAGTTTATTTTCGAATCAGCCTAGACATTTCTCTTGGCTTCACTTTCCATTTTACCCTTATATTTCCCTCCAGTTTTTTTGCAACCAACGCCTCTCTCTCATCTTTTTTTTTTCCTCACTTTCTCTTTTTCCTCCCTTTTGTACTTTCTATATTGCTTTTGTTCTCTAGAACTTGTTCCAAGACATTGTACAAAGGTATATAATGAATACATTCAGAAACTTTTGCATATTGACAGTATCCTTCACCTCAAGTTAGGAAATTACAGTATAACCCCACCAAAAATTACACATTACACTTGTCTATGAATATTCCTTGATCAAGTCGTCCAAGAGGTGAAGTTCCTCTAATTATCCTTTCTTTTAAGGTCAGATCTATTTACACCTGACATTCAAACATAATTTGGGTACACCAAACAACATATCCGATCTCACAGGCACAGGGCTATACCCACGTCTCATCGAACAAAACCCTACTATGGGTGTGCTTCATAAGCCTAAAATTCAGTCCAAAGCAATTAGCTGGCAACACAAGCAACAGAATATCCTCAGAATAAACGCAACCTCAATATATGCAATTTTAAAATCCAACCCTTTATTTCGACAAAACTTGAAGTCTAGCCCTTTTGAAACTCTAGAATATAATTTTACTATCCATAAGTTGCTGTTCTGATAACTTATGTTTATCAACTGGAATCTCACTCAACCCTTGGTCATTATTGTCTAAAATTAAAAGTAACCTTAATAGCTAATTTTTTCCACTGAATCTGCATGGTGTTAACATACCAGAATACTCAATTTCATAGATATTAGCTAGACTAGGCTTCAAATTCTGCAGTTGTTTTTCCCCCTCCCAGGATCATCATAATACCATCAACATTAACTATAAAAGTAGTACTCTGACCAGTTTTGATATTTCCACATTTCTGCATGGCTTTTGAAGAAGTCAAATTAATGCCATCAGAGAATGCTTCACTCAGTATGGCGATCTCCTCAACCTACATATTTTCCAATTTAGCCAAGGAATTAGAAAAAGCCTCGTTGAACATCCGTGTTCACTACTTCGAATAAGTTTCAACAAAGAACACTTGTGTCATATCAAATTGCTAGAGAGATAACATAAGGTTAGCTAAAAGAGAAAAACAACACTTTGAAGCATCTTCACTGCCAAAGAAATTTATTTTTCTTATTAGTTCCTTAAGTTAAAACACTTGGCACTAGTCACGCTTCATAACCATCCAGAGCACATCTGTTTTTCCTATCCCAATAAACACTCAGTTGCAACCAATTATTCTTTTTTGCCCTTAGTAGATCCACAACCCTATAGCTATCATTTTCAAGAGCTAGGATATTTCGAGCATAAGATTCTTTCAATGCATGTTCCTATACACAGTCCATGATGACAAATTACAAAGCCTCAGGATCAAATCTTGGACATGATCAAAAAAAAAAAAAAAAGACCAAAGCATTTCAACTCAACACCCTATATTAAATGGAAAAGTATATAAATCATAATGGGCACATTAGACTGCACAACAGGTGCTCAAAACGTGCCAGGACAAAACAAACAGAATATTTGCTAATGTGGAACAAGCTCTTCGCCCACATGAGCAGCTCCCAATCTCCCTTATACATACCTGTTTGTTTGTTAGCCCACGTGGGAGCCCCAGTCCCACGTGAGCAAGGGTATAAAGAGAGCTCTACACCACATCGAAAGATTAGGACTACCCAAGGTTAGTTTATATTTGAGAGATATCTCCACTCATTGAGCAATGGTAAATAGAACAAATCTCCCACCCATTTGACTTTCCTAACATATTTAGCCTTCATGCAATCTTTGGTCCCATGTGAAGGAAGGTGTAATGAGTTATCCCATATTGAAAGATTATAGCTTGAGTTGGTTTATAAAGTTGGGCTTCTCCACTCACTCTAATTTATTTTGGGTTGACTGCTCTAACACTTTCATCCCTACATAATTCACACATCCCAAGATTTTCATCAATATTCAGCCTCCTAGCACCTAAACAATCAAGAAAACCTAAATTTATTGTTCATGCACATTTTTCATTAACCATAACAGCTACCGAACATTGTTCTTTTGCTTGTTATGTGCCGCATAAGCATCGCCCCATCTTGCACCTTTAGAAATCCTTAAAGCACAGATGTTTAGCAACCATTCCTCGACAGAAGAAAAACTTAAACATCCCTTAAAAATCTTTTTCTTCTGTCGCTCAACTTCAAATTTCTTGTCAAACCCCATAGATGAGTGTTTTCCCACACTTTTAATACATTGCATGAAGATTCTGCAAGCTAACAAGCTTTACCTATTAAAACTGCTTTTGCAGGAAAAAAAATAGAGATGAACCATGGGATTAAAATGTGTCGGTCACTATATTATCCATTGTTCCTAGCAAACCCTTTTACTTAGTAATCAAATAAGACTGCTACCATGCAACCAAAATTTATTTCATATAACAAAAAAACTATGGGACACTTAGAAGCTTGCATACAACCTCACTTTGGGTACTATAACACCATCCTCCCTCAACTTTAAGCGCAAATAGAGTTTCTTCATTCTCTGATCAGCAAGGATCAAAATTTTGTCTCGATATATTATTTCGGTCACATAAGAAACGGAAACATTTCGACGTGTTTCAAAAACGTTTCGACCCGTTTAAAATACATAATAAAAAATATATAATATTTAAAAATTATTTTTCTAAAACATTGATTGAAATATATCAAAGTATCTTAAAATATCTTGAAACATTCAAAAACAATTGTGCAATTGCATTGAAATATTATAATACATCTCAAAACGTTATGGAATACCTTCAAATATTAGAATTTCGATTTCATCACTATTTTGTTTCGGTCTCCTTGGAAATTAAAACGTTTTCGGACGTTTCGACCGTTTCGAAACGATATTTTGATCCTTGCTAATCAAATAATTTTGCTTCATTTTTGTAATTAAAAATTAACTCAAATTAATATCCTGGACTGCCATCATAGTTTTTTTTTTTTATCTGGACCTGCCATCATAGCTAATAAGCAACAATTTTGCCTACAATGTGTATCCTTCCATATTATAAGCGTCCTACAAGGGTTGTGCATTACCAGTACTTTCAAGTGTTTGAGGCAAACCAAGAAGAATTTGTAGCCTTGTATACCAATTTGGGGAAGCCAGGGGTAAGCGATTTCTTTCCAATTAATATTGTTGGAGTAGGAGTTACTGTTAGTATTGTTGAAGAACAGAGAACAAGGACTACCACTAGTAATAATGTCGAGGAGATATGTAGTGGCATCCAACCCTGGATGCTTTTAACAAAACCACCAGCAAAAGTTCCAACTTGACTCATTTTGCTTCGGCCTTGTACTTTCTATCATCTGATTATTCGACAGTAACTACCTCCTATGTTTCATTAAAAAATTAACAGTGATATGCAAAATAGACTGATAGACCAGGGTAACAATATGAACATCATCACTCATTTCTTTATCATGACTTGAAACACAAACTTACACTAAGTTTTGGTTTAAGGAGTTGGCACAAAAAGAATCAACTCCTCCAATTCCTCCAACTTCATAAGCAGGCTAAAAAGTTTTTACTTTCCTGCTATTTTCCCTTAAAAAAGGCTTGATATCTATTAAGAATCCCCTACATAGAATCTTCCTCATCTTCCAATACTAATAGCACAAAAAATACAATAATTATACCAAATTGAAGTATTTGGAAGATGAAAAGAGGAGCACAAGCACATGAGAGGGAGGGGGGAGGGGGGAGGGGAGAGAGAGAGAGAGAAATATCGATATGTTTGTTGCATGATAGCTTGGCTAAATATTTTTTGGGCATTAGTTGGCTACAAATTCTATCATTATTACGCATGCATTTCCTCCTAAGCAATATAAAATTGCAGAACTATGCAAAATAAATTGCAAACTTTACAAATATAAGCAAGAATTAAAGCTGTAAATTATTTGGAAAAGAATAACCGCATGCAGTGCCATGGGGTCATACATAAGTAGGTCACGTATGATCCCAAGCTTCCCAAAATCATAGATCAATTAACATGATCTCGCTCTGCAAGATCCTCACATAAAGGAATTCATCTGTATGTAACTACACATATACCCATTGACTGACACTGACTAACAACATCGAAATCATGATGGCAGATTAGAACATTAGAAATACAGAGTCCACAGCACTTACCCAAATATAACACTTCCATTAGCCGATTTAGTCTGGAGATCACCAGACACTCCCTCATATTGGACGATATCCTTTACAAAGTAGCCAATACTATAGCTCCCATCTCCATAAACCTCAGTATATAGACATGACACATTGGTATTACAACCAGAGACTCGACCTCCATTGATTTCCAGACAAAACTCTTCATCACAAGAAACCAGCTTTCCACTGAGTGAATCCCCCGGATCGTACAGTGTAAGTTCCAGCTGTTATATTGTAACAAGTTCAAAACATGTATCNCAATGTGTATCCTTCCATATTATAAGCGTCCTACAAGGGTTGTGCATTACCAGTACTTTCAAGTGTTTGAGGCAAACCAAGAAGAATTTGTAGCCTTGTATACCAATTTGGGGAAGCCAGGGGTAAGCGATTTCTTTCCAATTAATATTGTTGGAGTAGGAGTTACTGTTAGTATTGTTGAAGAACAGAGAACAAGGACTACCACTAGTAATAATGTCGAGGAGATATGTAGTGGCATCCAACCCTGGATGCTTTTAACAAAACCACCAGCAAAAGTTCCAACTTGACTCATTTTGCTTCGGCCTTGTACTTTCTATCATCTGATTATTCGACAGTAACTACCTCCTATGTTTCATTAAAAAATTAACAGTGATATGCAAAATAGACTGATAGACCAGGGTAACAATATGAACATCATCACTCATTTCTTTATCATGACTTGAAACACAAACTTACACTAAGTTTTGGTTTAAGGAGTTGGCACAAAAAGAATCAACTCCTCCAATTCCTCCAACTTCATAAGCAGGCTAAAAAGTTTTTACTTTCCTGCTATTTTCCCTTAAAAAAGGCTTGATATCTATTAAGAATCCCCTACATAGAATCTTCCTCATCTTCCAATACTAATAGCACAAAAAATACAATAATTATACCAAATTGAAGTATTTGGAAGATGAAAAGAGGAGCACAAGCACATGAGAGGGAGGGGGGAGGGGGGAGGGGAGAGAGAGAGAGAGAAATATCGATATGTTTGTTGCATGATAGCTTGGCTAAATATTTTTTGGGCATTAGTTGGCTACAAATTCTATCATTATTACGCATGCATTTCCTCCTAAGCAATATAAAATTGCAGAACTATGCAAAATAAATTGCAAACTTTACAAATATAAGCAAGAATTAAAGCTGTAAATTATTTGGAAAAGAATAACCGCATGCAGTGCCATGGGGTCATACATAAGTAGGTCACGTATGATCCCAAGCTTCCCAAAATCATAGATCAATTAACATGATCTCGCTCTGCAAGATCCTCACATAAAGGAATTCATCTGTATGTAACTACACATATACCCATTGACTGACACTGACTAACAACATCGAAATCATGATGGCAGATTAGAACATTAGAAATACAGAGTCCACAGCACTTACCCAAATATAACACTTCCATTAGCCGATTTAGTCTGGAGATCACCAGACACTCCCTCATATTGGACGATATCCTTTACAAAGTAGCCAATACTATAGCTCCCATCTCCATAAACCTCAGTATATAGACATGACACATTGGTATTACAACCAGAGACTCGACCTCCATTGATTTCCAGACAAAACTCTTCATCACAAGAAACCAGCTTTCCACTGAGTGAATCCCCCGGATCGTACAGTGTAAGTTCCAGCTGTTATATTGTAACAAGTTCAAAACATGTATCTGAAAATAGTCAGTGCCTTCATAATAAATCTTGCAAAATTACAATAGTGTGGTTACCAGGAAACAAATAAAGGAAGCTTCAAAAAAGGTGCAAACAAGAGGCTTACACCATGATAACCCCTTCTAGGGCATTCCTTGCACTGAATGCAATTAACCCACATTATGTCACTTCCTGTATCTACTTGCACATAATAGTCCTTTGAAGGTGTTCCTATCCCAATCTTAGCATAGTAAAGCCTACAACATCAAAAATTTTAAATAAAATAAGCACAAACACAACTCTCACACACACAACCCAAATAGTAAACAGGTAAGGAGTTACACAACATTTCACAAAAGTAGGAAAGATTTATTGGTGGTGCTCGATAACGCATCAGAACCCATATAGACTCATGGCACATCAATACCTTCACATGACGAATATCAAATTTAGGACTCAATTATAAGAAACCAAGCAAACAACTATCTCATCGATGAACATTGAAAGAAGGAGGAGAAGAAGAGCAAGAGAATAAATAAGAAAAACAAGGAGAATGAGTTTGGGAAGAAAGGATGCTATCAAACTCAAAAGTGGAAACAACAACTATTCACGGGGTTATTACTATCAAACTCAACAGTGGAAACAACAAATCACAATTTCCTAGCTTCTCACCCACTAGACACCTAAGGAAAGTTTGACCATCAACTTGAGGATAAAAGGCACTTTAATGGCTAACCATCAAGCAAAAACTTGACCACATACTATAAGAAAGGATGATAGGTAAGCCTACACCCACCCCATTCCTTTGTTGTGGTATATTCCCAACACAGTGTTTTGGGCATGGATTCACTAAGTACACTGTACAAGCAAAGACTTTGGCCTAAAACTCTTGTGGCCAAAAAAAAAGAAAGGCTATTCCCAAAGAGCTTCCAAAGTGTCTTCTAAAAGAAACTATAAATTTGACATCCCTATTAAATGCAATAAAAATAGGCAACCCATAGAATCGGAGGACCTATCCAAAAAATAAGTTGGCCCGATGTGAGGCATCAGTAAACTTGATGCAAAGAATGAAATGTGTCATCTTAGAAAACCAAACTACTCTAACAAGCATGGATCATGACCTCAAAAGCTGTCATAGGTATCCTAGAACAAAATCTCTACTAAGTAACATTATGGTTCATAGGGAATTTGTAAAGGTATACACAACACAGTGTTTTGATACCTGACTTTTGCTAACGATAATTACAACACTATGACACTATCTTACTAACATCTTGTCAGAGTGTAGGTCAATAAAATAAGTCCTTCACAAGTACAAATATTTTATCCCTACCATAACATTCTACCAGAGCTCCTATGCAAGACTCCCAAACTGAAAAATCTCCCTACGAAATGCGAGGAATGCATAACCTAGAGCCTCTAAGTAAGTCATAAGCTCTAATAATAATAGCAATCAGATGTTAAAGTAGACATAAACATAGAAATTTGACACTTTTTTGGAATTTTAGTTATTTTATTGGATTTATTGGTCATTCAGTTGATTCATTTTTTGGATATTATTGGGTATTACTTTTTATCTTAGTAGATATATATTAGGCATAGTAGAGTTCGATTATAAATTTTAGTAGAGTTTGATTATGAATTTTTTAATTCGTGGTTTTGTTTGTTATACAAAAGGGATAGATGAAAAGTTTGTAAGAAGTTGATTGTTGATTAAACTTAAAAATTGATTCCTAAATCTCCTTCTTCTCTTTTTTGTTTCTTTTTTTGCTCTTTTTCTTCTCATCTCCATTTCTTCTTCATTATTTTGTTATTAGAGCCCAAATTGATTCAACTCACCGCATGTTTCACCACAAATACAAAAAGCCCCCATGAGAACCTACACACCAAATCAAATCCTTTTTTTTTTTTTTGTTAGTTAAAAAAGAGATAGAGGTAAAGAAAAGCACTCAGAGACCACCCCAATAGGCTCTCACTGGTGGGATTATGACACCCCTAACCGCGTCTATTACTCTTCTCATTAATGAACTTAACTAGGCTAGCATAGTGATCAACCACCGAACCCCAATGTGAACTCTAAGAATCAAACCTCCAACTTCAAGGTAAAAAGTTTGACTGGTACCCCACTGAACCTCCCCACTCAGTGGTCACCAAATCAAATTCTTACATCATAATCAACTTCTTACCATTAACTAGTAGTTCAATCACCAAACTCAGCTCAGGGTATCTCTCTCAAATCTACACCAAAGATTAAAAAAACAACTCTTCTATATCACCCATTAATCGACCACAAAGGTTGGCTACAACCTCCTTGTCACTACCGCCATCACTTGCTACCAGCATTTGGGATGTTAGGGATTGAAGATTCAAAACCTTTGGCGCACAAATTCATCGAAGAAGAAAAATAATAGTATTGAGAACAACTCAAAGCTTCCAATAATGAATAACCATCCCCTACCCTAAAGAATCCTAATCTAACCCTAATATTACTAATTGTACTAAAGTTAAAAGTAAATAACAAAAATAACCTAACCAATTGATAAACAAATCCGATAACATAATAAAAATACAATAAAATCCTACTTTCAATATCTACATCTATCCTAACAAAAGACAATCTTATTCCCATTTACGTATTTCATTATTTGACATATACAAATAATAATTTAGTTGTGGCGCCAATACATACATGCAGACACAACATCACCACATATATAAATCCTTTCTTTGACATGGGAAAAAAAATTAAATAAGGATAGCAGTTTTTCAATCAACCAAATGAATAGGGCTACTGTCCACAGCAATGATTTATAAGGGTCGAGCTAACAACTGTAAGGTGATGGATCCGAAAACAAGACAAGCTGCTTTACGCAAGTAATACTAAATATTACTTTTGTACCCAGTCCGACCCTCTCATTCCCGTGACTAACAGGTCAAACTCAGTGATGACTTATGTTTTCAACTGAATAAAAATTATAAACATCGAAATTGTCCTTTCTTGCGTAGGAATCGGCAAAATTTGTAGACTTAACATCATTTATAGACTTAAGTCACATCAATACGTTCACATCAGAAAAATCAGATTTCGAACTCAATATGCAGAGAGTAAGCAAAAAAGTTGGAAGGTCACTTGGTGGGATGCCAGAGTAAACTTTTGAATGTATAGTTTGAACTTTGAAACTTTGAATTACATATACAACACAAAAGAAGCTCATACATGGAAATTTGTATTTCGGTCTGTACCAAGAATTAAAAGGAAAGATGTCCTCCAATCAACTGAATAACGAACAATGAGGGCCATTGGTACGAGTAAAATTTTCGTGCTAACAACCATACCTTTACGGGTTCAAATGCTAAGAAAGCTGTTTACACAAATGACACCAAAAGTTATGTCCGAATCCAATCCATTTCTCTCATGTATATTAACTGAANTTTTTTTTTTTTGTTAGTTAAAAAAGAGATAGAGGTAAAGAAAAGCACTCAGAGACCACCCCAATAGGCTCTCACTGGTGGGATTATGACACCCCTAACCGCGTCTATTACTCTTCTCATTAATGAACTTAACTAGGCTAGCATAGTGATCAACCACCGAACCCCAATGTGAACTCTAAGAATCAAACCTCCAACTTCAAGGTAAAAAGTTTGACTGGTACCCCACTGAACCTCCCCACTCAGTGGTCACCAAATCAAATTCTTACATCATAATCAACTTCTTACCATTAACTAGTAGTTCAATCACCAAACTCAGCTCAGGGTATCTCTCTCAAATCTACACCAAAGATTAAAAAAACAACTCTTCTATATCACCCATTAATCGACCACAAAGGTTGGCTACAACCTCCTTGTCACTACCGCCATCACTTGCTACCAGCATTTGGGATGTTAGGGATTGAAGATTCAAAACCTTTGGCGCACAAATTCATCGAAGAAGAAAAATAATAGTATTGAGAACAACTCAAAGCTTCCAATAATGAATAACCATCCCCTACCCTAAAGAATCCTAATCTAACCCTAATATTACTAATTGTACTAAAGTTAAAAGTAAATAACAAAAATAACCTAACCAATTGATAAACAAATCCGATAACATAATAAAAATACAATAAAATCCTACTTTCAATATCTACATCTATCCTAACAAAAGACAATCTTATTCCCATTTACGTATTTCATTATTTGACATATACAAATAATAATTTAGTTGTGGCGCCAATACATACATGCAGACACAACATCACCACATATATAAATCCTTTCTTTGACATGGGAAAAAAAATTAAATAAGGATAGCAGTTTTTCAATCAACCAAATGAATAGGGCTACTGTCCACAGCAATGATTTATAAGGGTCGAGCTAACAACTGTAAGGTGATGGATCCGAAAACAAGACAAGCTGCTTTACGCAAGTAATACTAAATATTACTTTTGTACCCAGTCCGACCCTCTCATTCCCGTGACTAACAGGTCAAACTCAGTGATGACTTATGTTTTCAACTGAATAAAAATTATAAACATCGAAATTGTCCTTTCTTGCGTAGGAATCGGCAAAATTTGTAGACTTAACATCATTTATAGACTTAAGTCACATCAATACGTTCACATCAGAAAAATCAGATTTCGAACTCAATATGCAGAGAGTAAGCAAAAAAGTTGGAAGGTCACTTGGTGGGATGCCAGAGTAAACTTTTGAATGTATAGTTTGAACTTTGAAACTTTGAATTACATATACAACACAAAAGAAGCTCATACATGGAAATTTGTATTTCGGTCTGTACCAAGAATTAAAAGGAAAGATGTCCTCCAATCAACTGAATAACGAACAATGAGGGCCATTGGTACGAGTAAAATTTTCGTGCTAACAACCATACCTTTACGGGTTCAAATGCTAAGAAAGCTGTTTACACAAATGACACCAAAAGTTATGTCCGAATCCAATCCATTTCTCTCATGTATATTAACTGAAGGGAAAATTTATACAGATAATGCAAAAGTTAGGTCAATCCACCAGACCCTTTGCTTAATCAACTGAGTAAAAATCACATTAATCAGAACTTAGGTCAATCCTGCTGACCCTTTTCTTAATCACCTGAATAGAAATCATAATAATCACAACCAATAATCTATAAAGCCACCTTCAATTTTGTTTTTCTTAAATAGTTACCCGACTGAATCAGGACGGCCGGTTCCGCCGAGAGGGAGGTCGACACCAGCGAAAACTCCGAAGTGACGAAGGGTGTCGTGAGCTTTGAGGGCACTGAGTGAACGATCGGTGCCTGAGAATTTGTAACTCACGCGAATTACTCCACCAGCACTTGAAGAAGAAGCAGAGACGCAACTAAAGATCATCAAAACAAGTACCAAAAACAAGCGATAAGAGTAAAACTGTGCGATTGATAGGCCAGAAAATGAGGAAAAAGAAAGAATTTGAGAATTTCTTCTGTTGATGATGGCCATAATCATCATCTTCATCTTCAATTTCACCATCGTGGGCTTTTATTGGTTAATTTATTGGAATTCAAAGAGTTTCCGCAAAAATAGACGTCTCTCTCTCTCTCTCTCTAATTACTGTAGACGACGAGGGAAGTGGGAGACTTCCCGGTATCAGGGGCCCAGACCAACAATGTGTATTGATTTTCCTTTTGGTGATTGATTGTCCAAGTTATATATTTATTCGGACATGATTTACGTTTCCATATTAATTTTGTTGTAATAAAGGGGCATCTTTACAAATACATAAAATTTTTGGGCGACTCTCACATTCCTAACTTAAAAGATTTTAAAATTTTAATTTATAACCTCAAAGTTTAATTTTTTTCTACTAATGAGATACCTAAATTTCAATTAACATAGTAATCTCATATTTAGTGTTTAATTATTGTTAGTAATCTATAGTGTAGGAATTAATATCATTTTCATTTTTTTTTAAGAAAAGAACTTAATTTTAGAAATTAGATTGATTTTCGAATGAGAACTTGATTTTGGAATCAAATTAATTTTAGGAATGAGTTTTATTTTAGATTTTTGTTCTTTTTTTTTTAAAATGCTTAATTAAAATAGATATGAGATTACCACCGTCATTGAAAATTTAATTACAATAGTAATCTTATTATTGATTTTGATCATTGAATAGCTAACTATTCAAATATGATAATTTAGGATTTGAGGAATGCTATTGAGATATAATTTGAAGACTTAATGATTATAGTCATTAGAGTTTCAGTGGGTCCCAACATTAAATTATCGGTGAATTTTAACATTATCAATTCAATTGTCATAATACATTAAGGCCTCAAATTATGTTCCTAAATTATGTCTCAATAGCATTAGTGTTTAAGATTTAGGAATAAAAATCTCATTCCCAATTAATGATCATTGTCATCCAAACAGCATCTCAATATCATAAAATAAAATAGTTACAATATGACTAGCACATTAATTTTCACAATTGTTTTAGTCAAATTCATGGAAACTGTGTGCAGCAGAATTTGACAATAACAGCCACAAGATGGAAGATATGACATTGAAGGTACAATATGGAAAAAATTAATTTTTGTAAGAAATTTGAATTTGTTGATTACTCACACTTTGAATTTATATTAAGAAATTAATTATTTACAATGAATATTACATTCTAGAATTTAATTTTTTAAATTTTTTGCTAAATTTTTTTTATTCGTTTTAGACTTTCAACTCGAGCTATATTCAAATATTCAAAAGTTTTTGTCAAGCTAAATTTGAACAAAAATTTAAAGTCAACGATCTAAATCGATCGGTCATAATTGAACTAAGTATCAATGTGCTCAAATTTGATAAAATTAACTCAATTAATACACCTACATTTTATTTATATGAGCTTATGGCATCTTATAAACAGCTTACAAGACATATTAATGTAAAATTACAATTTAGAGGGTTTATCCTTCATCTGTTGTACCTTATCAAGGGAATATCCAACTTTATCTCTGTGACAAATACAAGTATTGGTGGAACCTCATTAGATAGTTGTCTTTGGGTGCATGTTGGAATGAGACAATAAAAAGGGACAAAAAGTGCATAAAACAAAACCTATAAGTCAAAAGTCCGGGGAGGAAGTTTTTGGGTCCAAAAAAGAAACTAGCAAACAAAAGGATAAAATTATCCTTAATAAAAGGCCCTATTTTTTCAGGCCGCTCACTTATACTATTTATTATTATTATTGTAGTGCAAGATAAATTCAAGATAACATGTCTAGACCATAACATGACAAATGACAATAATTATTAGTTGACATGAAAGTGGGGTCCAACAGGATCCAGCTAGATTTGTATGAATAATAGTGTCAGGCACAACGCTCCCCAGACGCGACACCACAATAGGGCGAAACATATCCCCATTGTATTAGAAGTGGTAAAATGAACCTTTCATCAAAGGTAGACAAGAGTGGAATCACAAAAGTCTGGGGGCAACCTCGGCAAGACTCGTCTTTCTCACTGCGGAAGTGGTATTCTCAACCTATTGAACGTCGTTGCTTGATGACCCACTAAACTAAGATAAAGGGCCCCCACTTAGGGACAATGTAGTATGACCCTCCTCAAGAGAGAACTGAGCAATGGAGCCAGATGAACATGATTGTCAACCTCGCCCTAGGGTAGGATCTCGAAGATTTAGTCTGCTCGAGCAAGCCTCCTAATATATGACTCACAACTTATTAGGATGCGCTTGACTGAGATCCAAATGGACTCCTAAGTTAACTGAGGTTATTGATTCTTATCAACATATGAGATAATGGGACACATGGATTGATGACTAAAAGACTGAAACTATATGGGTTTCCTATATCGGGTACTTTGACAAAGGTTTCAAGGAAAGGGGTTCAGAGAGGGAAGGGAGGATCCCAAGTAGGAGCATGCTGGGGGCATCGTGTACATGGTCTTCTCGCGTTCATGGTCCCGAGATGACTACTCATTATCATTAACCTTGGGAGCCCCTTTTCACCTCGGATGCCATACTCTTCCTCAAGGGCCACGTCTAAGCTGTGTTTGGAGAAACGTCACATCTGTCTAGTTAATGTTGGGACACGTGGCTCGCAGTTAGCGGCTATTTGTATCACTGTAGTCAAGGTAGTTGTGGCTTGGGGCGATGGTCAGAGGGTTGCAGCGGCCAACCCTTTGGGCAACCCTACCTACCTGAACACTATGCTATAAATACCTGTATTACTTGTCCACTACAGACGAGAGATTTTCTACTTGGCTGGTGCGCATCATTTTACTCCACCTACTCTCTGTCCAATTGGTTGATCCCTTTGTTAATAGATTGTTCGAGTTCCTTTCATCCCATCAACTTATCTTATTCATCTTCTTCAATTATCATTGGCATAGACACGTGTATTAGCATCTTATAACTCCCCACCTATATTGTTTTAGCAACTCCACTGGGGAGGTTTGTTTTTGTTAGTCTATGTCTGTCACAACTCAAAGTAGAAGAGCGTTTTCTAACACTATGACCAGAAATAACAACAATAAGGAAAACGAGCAATGTGAAAGCCCACCCCAGGGCGAGGATAGCCATAGTTCTTCTAAAAGCTAAAAGACACCCGAAGTGCCTGGCCCTCCATAATGGTGCAGGCTCTGCATGACATGCAAACTTTACAAACAGCAAATGGCTACAACAGTGCAGATAATGCAAGCTCAGATGTATTTCCAACCAACTAGCTTGCAAAAACCACCGATGTTCTTACCATTGCTCTAGCAATATCCGGTGCTACCCACATTCAACTTTTCTTGTATCCTCGCTAATGGTGTTGTCAGGCAATAATGGCCAATCACGGAAGTCAAGCCCCTATGGCTTAATAATGCAGAATTCCACCAGTAGACCTCTACCACTTTTGCCACAAGTTACTACAAGTGACCCTCCAATGCCATTTGTGACCACCACAATGAACCCTCTAGCATTCTTATAGCAAACCGCTACAACTAACCCCGCCAACTCTCCTATAGCAAGCAGTTATAGTTGGCCCTCAAACTGTCACAACCCCTGAGGTGTCCACTATAACTAGACTTGCAACCACGATTGGTGCACTGCTACAACTATGGCCACGCAGCCTCTCAAATGGCTCATCTCACTATCTCTACAATGTTACCGACAAATGACCTAAGTGTAGGGGCAAACTATTTTTCCTACTAAGCCTAAACCATTTTCAATCTCATCACCACCACCTCTCTTCCACCGGTAGCACCTAGGCATCATACCCTACCAATATAAAACGGTTTGCAACTAGTGATGGTTATGTTACATTGACCCAAGTCTAGGCTCTATTGGATAGGCAAAAGGAGCTCATGCCAACAACCATAGACGTAAGGTTCAAGTTTGTCCCAACAATGCAGTAAGCTATGTACCCTATGGGATACTCACCATCAAAGTTTAAAAAGTTCAGTGGAAACAATGACAATCCTTGGAACACATTACTCGTTATCCTGATAGCCTTGGTCACTATGTGCTCCACGAGCCCCTTTGAATAAGGAAATTTTCCAAGTCCCTCAAAGGTAAGGCCTTCAACTGGTATGTCAACCTTCCAATAAAATCTGTGCGAAACTAGGACAAACTGGCCTCTCGATTATGTGCCAAGTTCTTCCATGTTGAACATCGTAAAATAGTGTTGTCCTTGATAAAGATCACCTAGGATGACAGAGAGATCTTGATGGCATACATTGATAAGTTTCACAACAAGACCATTGAGTGCTAAAAAAATATCACCTAGGAGACCCTTGTCTAAATTTGCATGACAACATACACAATAAGCATAAGCCTTACCTGGTTAATAGTGACTTCAAGACCTTCACTAAGCTTTGTGAGTCTATCCATAGACTCTGAGAGATAATCCATTCAGTAATTATGGAGTGGTCTTGAAAGGATACAAAGTAGGCTACAATATCAAAGGGGCTTTGAGGGTCACTTGGGATTAAAGCGTAACAAAAAGACATCCTCTTTTATAGACAATGGTTTATCCTAACGACATGAGTTATGTTCATTCTGCATTACAGAGAACCTTTATTGCTACATTTGATCACTGTGGGAATGGCCACGAGAGGACTAGTTATACATGGGGCAAATGACCTCGAGGGGTAGTAGTTTCCAATCAGAATATACACATCCAGATTCAGACGATTGAGTTCACCCTCATCTCAAATGGGCTATGTCACAAAACTGAGTGATACTGACACGAATAGAAGTAAACATTCCCTTTGAATCCCCAGGTTCCTCCACTTTATGTGTGCTTGGTTGAGATAGGGAATGCATCCAAAGGGCCCTTCTTGGCCCAAGATAGTATTCAAGCACTCTTGGTCATCAACGTTTGAGCTTGAAACCAACAACACTTCATCCTTTTTGGGAAGGGCATCAATCAGTGCGGGTCTAGATTTCGTAGCAATGGTCGTAGCTTTGGACTTAGCCAGAAAAAACCTTAATTTCAGAAGTAATGGAAATCGACTATTGGGGTTGTCGCGAAATTAGTGGCCTTCCTCGAATGGAGCTTCTATAATGGGCAATCCTCATTTACTGCTTGCAACGCACAAGTATTGGCCGTGGAGACCATTAGACCAAGTGTTTAGACCTCGTTGATCTTGTTATCGGCGGATCTTTACTGGTGGAGTTAACTTCATCCCTCTAATGGCTCTATGAAGGACCACCTGTGAAAGCACGAGTTAGTATTAGAGGATGATCCCTTGGGGTGAAAATACTTAGCCCACCTCTATCAAAATATTGAGTCCAAAAATAGTATTTTTAGGGGAGGAATTTTAATGGATGTAAAAAATGAGATAACTGACATGACGATTGAAATGATTGTTGCACATCTTGAGTGTCATATATCGCGAATTAGGAGCATGAAAAGTCATGGTTAGGATAATGGATTAAAATTTCATAAGTATGCACGCAGAGGCCTCTCACAACAAACCCATGCGTACAAGGGCAACAACATCAGGAGTCCAAGGTTTATATTTGCACAGAACATGACGGGAGGACAACTGATTGGACTGTAGTGGATTGGACTGTTAACTGGACTCGACTGGACAACTGTTGGATTAGATTGTGGACTAGAAAAAAAAATTCAGCAGACATGATACCTACCTTGAAATGTTGAAATTAACATAAAGAATATCTTTGTTCAAGGCATCCAAAAACAATTAGGATCCTCTCAGCATGGAGATCAAATTTCATCCACTGCTGGAATCAAATGGAGCAAGACAAAGGGTTAAGCACCGTGGAAGGTGTCAAACAGCGTGTAAGGTATCAAGCACTATGGAGGGAGGGGCAGTGGAAGTAGCAAAATAGATCCTTGTCCAAAAGGGAAAGAGTGGGCCACGAGAATAATGTTAAGGAATGGTAAACATATTCTCATCTAATTATGAGAGTGGCACCCAAGCATGTTGCTACAAAAATTGTAAACAAATTCTCGTCCACGGGACGAGTGACACCGCAAGCAAAGTGCCATGAGAATTGTAAATGGATCCTTGTCCAAAAGACGAGAATGGCAATGCGAAAATGGTTCCTCGTCCAAGAGACAAGAATGGCACCGCAAGCATAATGTCATGAGAACGATAAATGAATCCTTGTCCAAGAAACTAGAGTGGCATTGCGAGCATACAGCTGCAAGAATTATAAATGGGTGAGAATACTGCTACGGGAATGGTAAATGGTTCCTCGTCTAAGAGACGAGAATGACACCATGAGCATATTGCCATAGGAATGGTAAATGGATCCTCGTCTAAAAGGGCAAGAATGACTCGTGTGCATACTATCACGAGAATTGTAACCACATCACTTTAGTAGCCTCTTCGCAATGACCAAGTCAGGCACAATAGAGATTGTGGCGGCACCCAAGATAAGTGCGGAAGCCGAGATTACGGCACCACCAAAGGCGAGCGTGATAGCCAAGATTACGGCGACACCTAAGAGGGGTCTGGCAACTAGCAGCGACACCCAAGGTAGGCGCAGCAACCAAGATAGTGGTTTTATCCAAGGTTGAAATGGTAATCAAAGAGCCACAAAGGCATAACCACTAAGGTGGGCACAAAATCCAAGGGGTTATGGTCGTCAAGAAAAAAGACTTGAAAAGGGAAGAGGCAAAATGGCATGAGAAAAATGAAAAGTTAAGAAGTGAGAGAAATGGGGGGCAAGAAGCCTTATTTATCTATATCTATACTACTAATAATCTATATATACTACTAATAAAAGTACCTTAACATGAAAAACTTTTGATTCACTATTTTGCCCTTATAAAAAATTATAAAGACTAATATGTTATTTTGCATTTAAATATATAAATTGTCATTATACTCCTTTGTATTTAAATAACAAATTAATCTCTAACATATCATACAAATCTATCTATCTTTGCAATACTTTTGAATGTTCATGATATAAAATTAATATTAATTCTTTTTTTTTAAACAACTCAATATTAATCTACGTTGACAACTCTATTGATATAATATCATTTCTAATGCCAAAAAACGGATATATTTATCTTATCTCTTCATTCACAATCAAAATAAATTGATAAAAATTTACCGATGAACAAAGTAAAAACAAGAAAGACAAAAAAAATCGAGAAAAGAAAAATCTACAAACCTTACTACTTGGTAGCTCGAATAAAAGAATAATAGAAAATGAGTCTATTGGATCTTTTATAGTTATGAAGAGAATACAAATCATTTAAGTATGATAAATATGAGATAATATCTAATGTAGCTACATAATTAGATTTTTTTATATATTTTATCAAATGTTTCAATAAAAATTTTCACGTACAACGTACGTCGTGCATCGTTTGTAGGTAAGAGGAGACATAGTGATTGAGGTAGGCTTAACCTTCGAGGGGTCTGACTATTTAGGTCATGACATCTAAGACCGTCATGATGAACAAGTAACGACAACCAAGGTACGACATTCGAGGGATTGTAGATGTCGAGGGTCATAGGCTCTAAGGATTTGGGATTGACGAGGCATTATGATAGTTAAGGATGCACTGTTAGTTGCACCAGGCATGTTTGTCGCGAAGGATCTTCTCAAGATTGACCTTCGCTTCAAATCTTAGCAAGTTAAATCAAAGGTAAGAAGTTGCGACAAACATGTCAAATTTTACCATAGTGATTTATTGCTATCACTAGATGTTGACAACAACAGGCTGCTCATTAGATGCAATAAGTGGGCCCGACAATTGGGCACTCCCCTATTAATGGCTTCAGCTAATGCATAATAGAAGCGATCAACACAACAAACCTCCATCAGTCAAAGTGCAACAGCTTGGTCTTCCCTACTCTCTAGCCAAGCGTCAGTCATGTCCCATTAGTTAAAGTACAACAGCTTGGTCTTCGAGCCTATCACACGTGTCAGTTATAGCAGCTACTAGGATGTGGCGTCGCGACAGTTGTACAAATCATGCCACTCAACAACTAGTTAGTTGTGAGAAAAGGAAAAGTAGGTGGGTCTCGTGATCAAAATCTCCAAGTCGCATTAGGCATACTCATCCCATTAGTCAATGTGATTTCATTGGCAGTCTTCAATAGCCCATGCATTTGATAGAATCTGTCCACATGCCAGGCAAGAGTGGCTATACGTTAGTCGTCAGTAGTGTCATGATTAANTTATAAAGACTAATATGTTATTTTGCATTTAAATATATAAATTGTCATTATACTCCTTTGTATTTAAATAACAAATTAATCTCTAACATATCATACAAATCTATCTATCTTTGCAATACTTTTGAATGTTCATGATATAAAATTAATATTAATTCTTTTTTTTTAAACAACTCAATATTAATCTACGTTGACAACTCTATTGATATAATATCATTTCTAATGCCAAAAAACGGATATATTTATCTTATCTCTTCATTCACAATCAAAATAAATTGATAAAAATTTACCGATGAACAAAGTAAAAACAAGAAAGACAAAAAAAATCGAGAAAAGAAAAATCTACAAACCTTACTACTTGGTAGCTCGAATAAAAGAATAATAGAAAATGAGTCTATTGGATCTTTTATAGTTATGAAGAGAATACAAATCATTTAAGTATGATAAATATGAGATAATATCTAATGTAGCTACATAATTAGATTTTTTTATATATTTTATCAAATGTTTCAATAAAAATTTTCACGTACAACGTACGTCGTGCATCGTTTGTAGGTAAGAGGAGACATAGTGATTGAGGTAGGCTTAACCTTCGAGGGGTCTGACTATTTAGGTCATGACATCTAAGACCGTCATGATGAACAAGTAACGACAACCAAGGTACGACATTCGAGGGATTGTAGATGTCGAGGGTCATAGGCTCTAAGGATTTGGGATTGACGAGGCATTATGATAGTTAAGGATGCACTGTTAGTTGCACCAGGCATGTTTGTCGCGAAGGATCTTCTCAAGATTGACCTTCGCTTCAAATCTTAGCAAGTTAAATCAAAGGTAAGAAGTTGCGACAAACATGTCAAATTTTACCATAGTGATTTATTGCTATCACTAGATGTTGACAACAACAGGCTGCTCATTAGATGCAATAAGTGGGCCCGACAATTGGGCACTCCCCTATTAATGGCTTCAGCTAATGCATAATAGAAGCGATCAACACAACAAACCTCCATCAGTCAAAGTGCAACAGCTTGGTCTTCCCTACTCTCTAGCCAAGCGTCAGTCATGTCCCATTAGTTAAAGTACAACAGCTTGGTCTTCGAGCCTATCACACGTGTCAGTTATAGCAGCTACTAGGATGTGGCGTCGCGACAGTTGTACAAATCATGCCACTCAACAACTAGTTAGTTGTGAGAAAAGGAAAAGTAGGTGGGTCTCGTGATCAAAATCTCCAAGTCGCATTAGGCATACTCATCCCATTAGTCAATGTGATTTCATTGGCAGTCTTCAATAGCCCATGCATTTGATAGAATCTGTCCACATGCCAGGCAAGAGTGGCTATACGTTAGTCGTCAGTAGTGTCATGATTAATGCCATAGGTAGGTGGGCCCGTGGTCAATGCACAAGAAGCCTTTGTCATCGCGACAAACCACCAGGCAGCTTCCCTCGGTCGAAACACTAGTTGTAGCCCTCAATTAGCTCTCCAGAAGATTTCAGCTCTCGTCAGACAGTCCTTAGCAGCACGACAAGCTGTCGACTCAGCTGCAGTCGAGTCACCAAGCAACAAGTCAGGCTTCAGTAGGTCATCCTTGCACTCCTCGGTCAATGTGACATCCTTGGTCAACACACCACTTAGTTGGTCAATGGAGCAGACCATACTAAAAAATAACAATACTACTATGTTGACCAAGATTTCTTACCAAAGTTTTTTATCTCAAGTAAAGTGGCATAGTTTTCACCATCAAATAAATGGATCCTATTCATATGCAATGATGGATATTGTGCCACATCACTTGGGATGAAAAACTTAGTAAAAAACTTGGTCTACATAACATTACTCAAAAAAAAAAAAAAGAGAAGAAATGGAGAAATCCATGCAATGGGTTTTGTCTTATTCTGGGCTTTTTTTTTTCAAAAGGTGGGTCTCATGGAAATTCAAGAAACATATGACAATAGAGAAGCTTTAATGAAATTTTTATTGGATAAAACCATGAGGATCTCACATGTTTTTTTATGGTATGTGAAATTATGAAGCAAAAGTATGCAATTTGGCCTCATTTATTTATTTATTTGTTTTTGGTAATTAGAGGGGGGCAAGGTTAAATTCCCTATTTCAAAGAAAAAAAGAAGTGAAGAGAGCAAGTTGTTGTATCACATTACTAGTACTATTCCAAAAAAAATTGGAATTTATTTTTTGGTATTTTTTAGGCTCAATGACAGTCAAGGTTTTCGAGGATAATAATGAGCCATTTTATTAGCAAATTTCAAGGTTCAACGACAGTCAAGGTTTTCTATCCATAGTGGTACATGACGTAGGGATACACTTCAGAATTGCACAAGAACAAAAATATACAAGTCCTCGAGACTGTTATGCATGCAAAGGCCATTAAAAGAAGGCCCATGCATGCAGAGGCAACTAGTCACAACAATACTTTTGGCAGTAGAGAAATGACGATAGAGGACTCGAGCCTATTTTATGAATTTTTTTTTTGTTTCTAACTGAAACTGTGATCAGCTCACAAATAACAGTTACAATCAAAGGACAGGTGCAAAGAGACTATGGTGTGCACGCATAGGATGCTTCCCGAAACCTGGCATGCACAGGGGGCAAATGTTGTACTGGAAAAATTAAAAATACATGTCTACACCACAATAGGACAAGTGACAACAATTATCAGTTGACATGGAAGTGGGGTTCGATAAAGTCCAGCTAGACTAGTATAAATAACAATGCTAGGGTCGACGCCCCAAGTGCGACTCCCCATGGCACACCCCCAGGCACAACATTGTAACATGATGAAACATATCCCCTTCGCATTAGAATTGGAAAAATGGACCCTTCACCAAGGATAGTCAAGAGTGGAACCACAAAAGTCTGAGAAAAAACTAGGTGAGACTCGCCTCTCCCATTGTGGAAGTGGTATCCTCAATCTATTGGACACCATTGCTTGACTGGCCCACTAGACTAAGAGGAGAGGTCCTCGCCTAAGGACAGGGCAGTATAGACCTCCTCAAGGGATAACTAAGCAACGGGGGCGGATGAACATGATTGTCAATCTCGGCCTAGGGCAGGGTCTCGAAAGTTAAGTCTACTTGAGTAGACCATCCAGTGTATAGCTCACTGCCCAATACGATGTGCTTGACTGGGATCAAGAGGGACTTCCAAGGAAACTGGAGTTATTGATCTAGATCAACATATGAGATAATGAGACATGTGAATTGGTGGATGAAGGATTGAAACTATGTGGGTTTCCTCTATCAGGCACCTTGACAAAGGTCTCAAGGAAAGGGTTTAAAAAGGGAAGGGAGGACCCCGGGAAAGAGTGCACTAGAGGCATCGTATACATGGCCTTCTCGAGATCATGGTCTCGCGATGATCAGTCGCAATCATTAACCTTTGGAACCCTTTTTTGCCTTGGTTGTCGCACTCTTCCTCAAAGGCTGCATCCAAGCTGCATTTGGAAAAATGTCACATCTGTCTAGTTAATGTTGAAACACGTGACTGATGGTTAACGACCATTGGTATCACTGCGGTCGAGGTAGTTGTGGGTTGGCACGATGGATAAAGGGTTGCGTCGGGTAGTCCGACTTGTCTGGACACTGTGCTATAAATACTCGTATTATTTGCCCACTGCGGACAAGAGATTTTCTACTTAGCTGGTACAAGCATTTTACTTCACCTACCCTCTGCCCAATTGGTTGGTCCCGTCGTTAATAGGTTATTTGAGTTTCTTTCATCCTATTTGTTTATCCTACTCATCCTCTTAGATTATCTTTGGCGTAAACACGTGTGTCAGTCTCTTTTAACTCATCACTTACAATCGCATTAGCGCCGTATTCAAGGTGGGCAGTCGACATTGCCTCTAGAACCTAGATCATTGTCCAAAAGTGAAAGAACGGTCAGCTAGTGCTTGCTTGCTTTATTTTCTTGGATCGAGATAACGAAGCTGAGGAGTAGTGATGTTGTAGAAAAGACAAGACAAGTTGTCTTTAGATTGCCCCATATCTTGGGGGGTGCCCAATATGGGTCTTCAAGGTTGAATATCAAAAAGAAGAGATATAGGATGTGATCTACTACACTTATGCTTCGTTAAATCAAAAACTTTGTACTATGAGGAACTTTTTGCTATAAGATAAAGGTGGGTCATTGTTAAAATGTTGTCCAGTTGAACTTTATTAAAATATAATTGTATTTAGGACTTGTCTCACCTTTCTACTTGGATTGGGATAAGAATACATATTTACTGTAAATAATGTCTCGGGACATAAAAGTAATATTTTTTTATGTAAATTGGGCTTGTGCCAAGCAACTCTAGGTCAAAAAATGCTTGATTTCGCTTTAAAGTTGTATGTTTTGATCTTCATTGTATTATCCAATTTTTTGATTAATAAAATTATCTACCATCTGAAAAAAGGAAGCAGACAGTAAAATAAGTCTATTTTCACTTCCCTTGAAAAT